AAGCACTACCATAGAAAGCAGACTAAAACCCAGCAGATCAATTAATTGGTCTGGGAACAATCAAGATGTCTGGAAGCAATGGTAGGAGAAACCAGCAACAGCACTAAGCAGAGCTTTGTGGTCAGCCTTCTCTGGACTTCTGTGCTTGGCTTTACCACTGAGCACTGAGCAATGTCTTTCAGCAAACAGGTAGATCCGGTTGGAGTAATCTCATACCTGTTTATGTGGTTGTCTTGTCCTACACAGATCAAGACAGAAATACTCCCTCCAGGGGGTCTGTATATTCAGAACAACATGAAGTTTTATCTTGGTTCTACCTTGGGTGAAGAGTACAAATAGCCACAGGTGACATTAAACTGGGAGGGTGGCCACACTATGAAATGGCAGAATGTCTGCCCAGAGGGGCCTCAGTCAACCTGAGAAGTAGCACCTTGTGGTGCCCAAGGAGGAGAGGAGCAGAGCTCTGCACAAGGGGTGACACAGCTCTGTGCATTCAGCCAGGCTGGAAGATTCAATCTGCTCAACAGTGCTTCTGAGAAGGACTTGGGGTTTCAGCAGACAATAGGCTGACCATTAACCAGAAGAATGTTCCCATCACATATAAGATAAACAGGCTGCACTAGCAGCCACATGTCTAGCACAGCCAGAAGAGTGATTTCTACTCACTCTGTCCAGAGCTGGTGAGGCCTCTCCAGGATTCATCTCCAGTGTTGGGTCCTCCAGTTCAGGAGGGATGTGGCAAAAGAGGAGAGGAGCCAGCTGAGACTACAAAAAATGGTTAGGGACCTGGAGCACAGTGCCTCTGAGGAGAGAGGGCTGTACTTGTGTAGTCTGGTGAGAAGAAGGCAGAGGGGACATCTCCCAGGAGCCTGTGACTGCTGGAAAGGCAGTGACAGACATGACAGCAAAACTCCTGCAGCATCAGACAAGCATCAGGGACCACAACTGTAGAATGCAGCTTGGGAGGTCCAGAAGTACATCTCGACAACAGGAAGTTTTAGTCTCCTGAAATATAATTAACCTTTAGATTAAAGTCTATTCACTTACCCACTCAAAGCACCTTGCCAGAATCAAGGGAAAAAACAAACAAAAGAAAGCAATGAAAAACCCAAACAGCCCAAACCCCAGACACACTACTAATTGTATCTCCATCCTAATCATAGCACAGGAACACAATGCATGAGTCCATCTCAGCTTGCCAAGTTGCAAATGTTTGTCCAATGTAGCATCTGAAAGCAATTTGCAGTAATTTTCTATAAAAATACTTCACTATCAGATCAAGAGCAATGGGAAAGCCTTGAATTAGACCACCCCGCTTCTTCCATACAAATACCTTTTGTATAGGCTGAAAGAACTGCTAAGAGCTCTCTCTTTTTGGTATAATTTTTCCACATGTTTCTTTGCAGGTAGACATCATTCTTAATTGTTCATCCACTTGGCAAGTTTTCTGTCTTCCACACTGTGCCCTTGGAGTAACATTACCAAGTGAGGAAAAACATTCTTTTTGCTAGAAGTCTCTTCTCTTCACATGAAAAGGCTAAAGCATACCCAGTAGACATATGCAAATGCTGCAAAGAAATAACACAGAAAATAGTTTATTTTCCACTCCAGGAGATCTCAATAACAACATCTCAAACTTGCCAGAAATGAGCTTTAAAGTAATGCTGCAAAACACATGGGAAAACATGCATCCAGCTCTCACAAAGAGCAGGAAACTGCTTCAGGCAAGATGTGCTTCTAAAAACATTGCTGAAGGTGAAAATCCATTTACATTTAATATTACCACATTTGGTTTTGCAGTTTTATAGAATAATTTAGGTTGGAAAAAAACCATTAAGACCATCCAGCCCAACCATTAACCTAACACTGTCAAGTCCACCACTAAAACATGTTCTTAAGTGCCACATCTACAGATCTTTTAAACACCCCAGGGCTGGCAGCCCAACCACTTCCCTGAGCAGCCTACTCCAACGCTTGACAAACCTTTTGGCAAAGTCTTTCTTTACCAAAGAAACTCCCCTCAATACCAAGAGGCTTTTACTAAACAAGGATTTGAGGACTTATTAACACTATTTTACAATACAAAGATTTTAAAGACTTTTAGGCATCCTCCACCTCTCCTTAAAATGAAAGAGAGAAAAGAAGTACCTTAGGACACCCAAAGAAAGTGAGGTGAGCTAACAAATGGCACATGATTTGTTCCAGTCAGCAGGGTTCTACTGGATCACTCCCATACTGCTTTTCAAGTGTATCAGGATTCACATTTTGAAGGTTAGGTGTTCATCCTGTTCTGTCTGTGCAGAACTCAACACCACTGATACTTCAGATGCCAGCTGCAAATAATAAAACACCTAAGCATGTCAAGCATCATGGCTCTACTCAGTAGCCTGCATCTCCAAATGGAATTTAAACTCCCTAACTTCATAACTAAATGGGATAAATGGGCCCTAACCTAAATCCCAAACATTTCTAACCTAAGGAGTTCTTTTCATTAGCTTAGCAAGGAATATGGATCCAGCATTTTCAGCCTTGGTATTCTTCCATGGATCAAAGTCAATATCACCTTCAAACCCCATTTTTGGGTTGCATGAGCCTCCCACCAGTCTGCAAACAAAAAACTTGCCAGGGCAGAAAAAACTTCTCAGGTTGAAAAGGCAATTCTGAAGCTAGCTTTTCCTTTGGAAACTTTAAAAGGTCTGTTCTTTCCCTGTTCCACTGATTCATAATGGCTTTCAAACTCAGAAAATGGGAAAATTGACCATTTTTTGCAATCCACTCCTCCTAGTATATGAGGAAGGATTACACTTGGCTTTGAAAGAGGGGAAAGAAAAGAAGACTAGCCTGGCTCAGTTAATGACAAGTGGATTGAACAGTCTTACTGGTGGTGCCAGCCATTCATGGTGATGAATTCCCTTCCTCACCTCCAACTTCCCAAGGAAATATTTTGCTTAGGAGGGCCCAACAGAGTAAATAAGACCAGAAAAGGACGGGCCAAGGGAAGGCTGATCAGTGCAAACTGACATAAGAGTCTCCTGCCATTCTGTGGGGCTGCCTCACCTTCACCACACTGCCACCACATTCTTGCACTGCGTGAGATTGATCAACACTTACTGAAGACCAGTCCTACAGAAGGGGCTTCTTTTCAGCCAAGAAATGAAATAAAGGAGCAGATGGTTTGAAGTGCCCATTTGAAGCAGCCCACTATTAGCTTGGCTCAACTCTGAGGCAAAATGACAGAGTGAGGGCTGAAAGGAAACACCTGAAAGCAGATCAGGTGGTGAGCTGGATATTCCAATATACAGGAATAGAAAGGAAAATGCACACCACTGTTTTCTGGTCTGAGATCCTTCCTGCCAAGGGGGGCTGGTGAAAACCTGCTAGTGAATCTGCAAGGAAGGCCTATGATTTTAGACAAGTAGACCTCAGCCAAGAAAGATTATTGCTTTATTTGCCTGGCCATGCTTTAAGCTTGCCTAGGTCATCCTTTCCTCTTTCTCCTTTCTGTTGTTACCATGCCTTGTAAAGAATATTTGTGAGTGTGGACTCACATGCAACAAGCTCATTCCTTGTTAGCTTGCAGTGCCACTTCCACAGCTTGCAAGACAATCCACAACAACCTCTATGGGACAAGTAAAGGATTCAGACTTCCCCAGCCTGCATAGGATCAGACCACAGAAGTAGAGAATCTTTGGAATAAAGCAAACCTGAAGCTGATGAATGTCACAAACCATCATGACATTTACACAAAACCCCAAGCATGTGAAAGGTGACACTTAGATCTCCATTTCCTGGACAATATCCAGTAGGAGCTGTATGTCTTTTGTGATCTTCAGCTTCTTCCCAAAGGAACATTCAAAGTCACAGAGACAAAGCTTTCTGAAGGCAATGGCAATGCTGCAGAATAAAGGCAGGTCTTTACCTGTGACAACCTGAGAAACAGCTGCTCACCTTGCAAAACTGCCTGCCAGCTCTTCCATGGCTTATGCAGCCAGGTTCGTGCTCCTGTACTTATCCTCACAAACAGCACAATAAAGCCACCAACCCAATGCAGACTGGGAAGTGAAAAATGCATGAGAGTGTGGTTTAGCTTGCAGGTTGCTGGTTATTAGTGCTATGAGAGTATGACTCTCCTAACAGTGGGCTGCATGGTTGCAAATTAATTGCTGCTTCTGAACATTTAGTATATCTCTGCAAGCAAAATGCAAAAGAGCTAATCTTCAGAGCACTTCACTTAGCACAGATGTTCAGATACACCCAGACAAATGCCAAGGAACCCCATGTTAATTCCTCTTCATCCCCTTTTTCTCCCTGCAAGGATCAGTTTCTAGACCAAATCACCTGGCATCTGCCAGAGCCAGGGTCGCTGATGTATTTCCCAGGAATTTCTGCGTCCTGGGAACTGTCAGTTCTCTTTACAATGGTGCTGCACTGCACCCTTGCGATGATGAAGGCTGGTCACATGCCAACCTGTACTGGCCAGAGTGCAACCACCATGTGAAAGGGCAAGATTAAAGGTCCTCCATCCCTCCGGGTGCTCAAAACTGACTGGAAAAGTCCCTGAGCAACCTGATGAAACTTTGGAGTTAGCTTCACTCCCAGAAGATAACAGGATGAAAGACCTCCAGCAGACCCTTCTCACCTGTGATTCTATGCCAGCCTTTCCAGAACTACAGATGCTTCTTGGATCAACACTTGCAACACAACAATTTTATCTATAAGCAGAAGGACAAAAAACCTACAATTCTTCTCAAAACATACGAAAATAACAGCTTCTGACCAGTGATAGAGACAGCAAGTATTAGAAAAGCTTGACATTAAAGTAACTTTCATTATCTTTGACACCAAGGCAAATCACACCTCTAAAGTAAGAAATCAAGCTACATATATTGTTATTAATAGGAAATAATATTTCTTACCATTCCTGTAAAAAATAAATACTGCAACATAGCAAAAAACCCCCGCATACTTCATCATCCATGCACATGGGAAAAACACCTTGCTTTTGTCTGAATTTTGTGAATTTCCTATATAGGACTCATCTAGACACAGGCTTTGAGGTCCAGAATGAGGTCATAAAATTATTTCCTTAAACCCAGCTCATGAATGAAAACAGATTCCACCTTTTAGGAGAAGCGTGTCTTCATTTAAAATACTCCTACTGCAAAACATCAACAGTTCAACACTTTATGAGCTTTATGAGCTCGTGTGGTACATTTAAGTTACAAGTAACATTTTATCTGGATTTGCCTTGTGTGTGGTCCCGTTAGACAGAATAAAACCCTCTCATTATATGTATTTTGGTCATATTTACAAGTTTACCATCATGGTCTAAGATGAGCATAAAGCCATACTCAAGATAATCGTAAGTTAATTAAACGCCATGAAAACTCAAAGACACAAAATGGGATCACATACACCACAGTTTAATTTTTTCCCCCACAAACCTGTTGAAATGTCATTCGGAGCCCTCATCTTTCAGCAATGAATTTAAACTAACAACAACTTCAGCCTATTTACATGCTGAATTTTATGCGAATTTGATTTTGAAGTAACTGCTTTTGATACAAACAAGCCTATAAAACAAAATAAAGGTTTTTCTTAAAATTAAATAGTGGTTTAGGGTTTTTTTTCCGAATTCACAGTGGTGTCTGATAAAAAATTACATTGATTTATCCTTTTAAGTACAGGTGCAACTTTGCAGAAGTTCCTTTTGTATCTGTGTTTGTGGGTTGAGTGTTAGAAGCCCATTTATGGTGCTTCTGTTAGCCTTCCTGAGAATTTCAAGGAAAGGAGATCTCTTCATTTCTCCCTTTGTGTCTTTGTGCAAAAGTTGACAGATCCACCCTCAGCCTGAGAGCGCATTTGTTCTTTGAATCAGCTCTGCCTTATGGCAGCTGCTTTGCTCAGCTGCCCTGTGAGGCAGGTGAGGCAGATGCATTTCCTCTTTTTGCTCCTCCATGCTGGGGCTCCACAAAGAAAAGTAAGGTTAACTGTAAAAATACAGTTGTTAACACTAGATTTACTTATATTCTCTTGCATTTTCCCAGAAAGCTTCTATTAGAAGTCCATACAAAACAACAATTTAATGTCAAAATTAAGTGAAAATATGCAACAGTAGTGATAATTTTGCTTACAGAAAATTACTTACCACAGGTAAGTAATTTATCATAGCTCAAGAAAACCTTATCAGACACAAAGTTTCTGTCTCTTGTGGTGCAAAAGCTGTTTTGGGGAGTGGGTGTAAAATCTGCCCAGTGTGAGGATGGAGAACATATTGCACTGTCTGTACATAACTGTTCTCTGCTGGAGAAGATCCTCAATATTAGAAGAAATACTATGATAGTGCTTTTACATTTTTAATATTTTAGAAAATCTTAATCAGAGAACATTTTTTTGAGGAGACTTATTTTTCCATAGCTGTTCTACCTTTTTGTATATAAAAATTAAGCAATCACAATATTATGGAATATCACAAAAAATATTTTGTGCCCCATCACGGAACTGAGGAAAGATTTAGAAGAAAAACCTGAAATTGCCAAGCTTGATTGGTGGTCCAGTTGCATTTTTTGAGGGGTGTGTCATATTCTCATTATGACAATATATCATCCATCTTTCTCCTCAGAACACCATCCAGCACTGTAGCCAAATGTTTCAAGTAATTTTCCTTTTGTACCTTGAGGCAGTTTGTTCCCCTGCCACCTGAACCGGGACAGGGAAAGACACGATCCGTTTGCAGTCACAGGCAGAGGGGATTACAGCAAAACCTCTTCATGACTTTCCCAGTATTGCAGATCCAATTGCAGACGCTTGGTGGAGCAGGATATCTACAAGTTGCAATGCACAGTTAGTTCTGCGTGTGCATAACGAACAGCTCACACTGCTGTAGGAAAAACATATTTTTTCACTACAACCACTTGTTTCTCTGCCTGCTCTCTGCATAAAGGATGATAAGAGGACAATGGTACAGGGAGCTCATGTACCCTTCAGTTCCGTTCTCGCCCTCAGCTGAAGAAAGGAAATCTGCATAGGAGTAGCACGGCGTTTAAAATGAACCAAAACAGTAATTTTAAACTAGATATTCAGAAAAAAAACTCTTCACCGTGAGGGTGGTGAGGTGCTGGAACACCGCTGTCAGGACCTCTGGTTACTTCTCTAATAGAAATTGCTTTGGGTTTTTATTTGTTTCTTCCGTTCCGCGGGGCGCGCGGCGGTTCCTCCGTTGGGTTCGCGGAGACAACGGACGAACGGCGGCTCGCTCCGGCGGCTCGGCAGCAGCAGCAGCAGCAGCAGCGGCAGCAGCGGCAGCAGCGGCAGCAGCGGCAGCAGCAGCAGCAGCGCTTCTCTCGATCGGTTTTCCGCTCGATTTTCCGCTCGCTCTCCGTCCCCTTCTCCGTCTAACACTCCCTCCACTCCCGTCCCGTCCCGTCCCGTCCCGTTCAGTCCGTGTTCCGCCTTTCCCAGCCCGGCTCATGCCGCGTCCCGCAGGGCGCCCATGGGTGGGTCGGCCCCCTGCCCGGCCATGCCCGGCGCGCCGCGGTCTCCCATCCGCCAGGGTGCCTCCGCACTGGCTGTGGCGCCTCTGCAAGAGCCTCTGGAAGAGTTTCTCACTCTGGTTGTGGTGGGGCAGCACCGTTCTCTGGCTCCGCTTGGCGCAGGCTCTGGCCCGGCCCCGGTCCCGAACGAAGCCCCTCCCACGGTTCCGCCCGAAGCCAAACCGTTGCCGCCCGGCTCCCATCCCGTCACCGGGAGCTCCCCCAGGAGCTTCCCCGGTCCGAGCTCCACCGCTCGCCAGCTCGGCTATCGGTCCCGAGCCGTCGGAGCCCGGGGCGGCTCGACAAGCAGCAGCGGCCGGGGCGTTCGGGTGCCGCGGGAAGAATGGCGAGAGCGCGGTGCCGCCCGCACGGGTGGAGAAGCCTCCCCTGGAGCAGCTCTACCGGGAGGGCCCGCTGCTGGGCAGCGGCGGCTACGGCAGTGTTTACTCCGGGACCCGGCTCGCCGACGGCGCCCCGGTAAGAGACGGGGCCGGGTCGGAATGGGGCGGCGGGAGACGGTGGGTGGCGAGCTCAGCCCGCCGCTGACCTTGGCTTTGCAGGTGGCCATCAAGCGAGTGTCCCGGGAGCGCATCTCGGAGTGGGTGCGGCTGGTGAGTGAGCGGGGCCAGCGGGAGCAGCCGGCGGGGCGTGCCGGGCGGGGCTGAGGCGAGGCCCGGCATGGTGGGAGCCGGAACGCTGCGAGGGGAGCGGGCGGGGAGTGAGCGGGGGCCGCGCAGCGTGCCGGGCCGGGCCATGGCGAGCAGCGGCGGGGCCGGGCGGGGGGGCGCAAGGCGCGGCGCAGCATCGGCCGCGCTGACGGCATCGCGGTCCCCCCGCAGCACAACGGCGCCCTTGTGCCCCTGGAGCTGGCGCTGCTGTGGAAGGTGTCGCGGCCTGGCTTCCGCGGTGTCGTGCGGCTCCTGGACTGGTTCGAGGTGCCCGACGGCTTCGCGCTGGTCATGGAGCGTCCGGAGCGCTGTCAGGAGCTCTGGTGCTTCGTGGAGGAGCGGGGGTTCCTGACGGAGCCCGTGGCCGGGGGCTGTTCCGCCAGGTGCTGGAGGCCGTGCGGCACTGCAGCAGCCGCGGCGTCCTGCACCGCGACATCAAGGCCGAGAACATCCTCGTGGACCTGGCCACGGGCGAGGCGAAGCTCATCGACTTCGGGTGCGGCACGATCCTCCATGACACGTTCTACACCTGGATGTCAGGTGAGCCCAAAGCTAGGGCCCAGCCGGGCAGCGGACATTTCCCCCTTTGCTGGAAGAGGGATGGAGGGGGAATCCTCCTTCAGCCGTTTGCAGCCCAGTTGCTTCTCGGCGGGGCAGGGGCTGGCTGTTCAGGGGAGGTTCCCCCTTTGCTGGCAGAGGGGGACGAGGGAGGGAGGGAGGGGGAATCCTCCTTCAGCCGTTTGCAGCCCAGTTGCTTCTCGGCAGGGCAGGGGCTGGCTGTTGTGGAACGGGAGCTGGCTGGGAGGAAGAGGGAGCAGCATCGGCCTGATGAGCTGCGCCTGTGTCCCATAGGAACGCCGGAGTACAGCCCACCGGAGTGGATCCTCTTTGGCTGCTACCGTGGCCAGCCAGCAACCATCTGGTCCTTGGGTATCCTGCTCTATGACCTGGTCTGTGGCAATCTTCCTTTCCACACCAGTGAGGACATCATCAGAGGCCAGCTCTTCTTCCCGCCCTGGGTGTCTCAAGGTGAGGATGTTCCTTCAAGGCACAGGAGGAAGAATGGGATTGGGAGGTGGAGGCTGGCACATGTGTCCTGCTCTTGCAGCTAGTGAGGAGGTTGATCTCCTGGGCTTAGCTGGAGGAGGTGGCACATGTGACTCTGTGCTGCTCTCCTCTGAAATGGAGGATTGATGGGAAGCTTTGTGTGCAGCTCTGAGCCCTTCTAGTGTAGTGTGGGCACCGTTGAATCTGGGAGAGCATGGACAGGAGCCTTGTCCTGCTGACCAGTGGTTTCCGGTTTGTCTCTGCAGAGTGCCAGCACCTTATCAGGTGGTGTTTATCCAAGGCTCCCACAGACCGGCCATCCTTGGAAGACCTTTTTGAGCATTCTTGGCTGCAGGACCCTCACGTGGACCAGGAGACAGCAGAGATCCATGTCTCTGCACAGTAGGATCCAGGATCCCAGCAAGTACCAGCTGCACGCATCTCGTGGCGCTGGATGAAAACCCTAGAGCGTGTCCCTGTTGCCACGGCACAGAGGAGAGAGCACAGCCCAGGAGACGCTTCCACTGGTCCCCAGCGAGTTGTGCAGGGAGGGGCTCAGTGCTCCCCGTCCTATTGGAGAATTGGTGGCAGTGTAGTGAAGTTGAGACTGGAGAAGGGGAAACATCCCCCTGCAGCTCAATGGCATCATGATGTCCCCGCAAGCCGAGGCACAGCTGGCATGTTCCTCTGGAGCACGATGTGGAGCTGGGAACACCATCCTGGAGCTGGCCGCTGGTGGGGCAAAGCCAACTGGCTTTGGCTGTGACCCCTTCCTGGAGGACATGCTCTGCACCCTGAGGAAATCAAGATGAGTCCCCAGCTGGCGCAGGGGCAGGGGGATGCTCATGCTCCCAGGCATGGCAGGGCTTGGCCTGGCTTCACATCGGAGATTCCCTGCTTGGTGGTGATGAGGAATAATTTTTCCGCTGGTCGCCAAGCTGCTTTTTGGTGGGACAGGGGATGGATATTGTGGAAGGGGAGCCGGCTCCTGGCCTTGCTGACAGCTTCTACCAGCCAGCCTGTGGATGCATCCATGCATGTAGATGGGGGCAGCAGAGGAGGATGGGTTCCGAAGCCATGCCCCAGCTGGTCTGCTTTGTAGGCCCTTGAGGAAGGGGTGGGTTTACGACCAGGAAAGGGGGGGGTTTTCCCCACCCATGGAGAGGTTTAATTCTCGCATGGAGTGATCAGACTCTGCCTAGGCCTGTGATACAGTAATAACCTTTGACACTTTTTCTCATTTCCAGGTCTTCTTTTGAATTGACTTTCATGCAATTGTTCTTTTTTTTTTTTTTCCAGGAAGATTGCACCTGGTGCCCAGACCAGATGGGGAAGCACCTGTACTGTCCGTGGAGTGTGTCCAGTGCCAGCATTGCCCCTACGGGGGGACATCCCCTTCAAGAAGGACTAGGATGATTTGTAGGATCAGCTCTTCTCCTGGCAGCAGGTCTCCAGAGGTGGGTACCTGGCTCCACAGCTCGGCTGGCAGAAGGGCTTCGGGCCGAAGGCAGCAGGCACACGGGCATCCCGCTCTTGCAGCTGCTGAGGAGGTTGCCGTGCTGTGCTGAAGCAGAGGAGGTGGAATGTGGCCTGCCATGCTGCTCTTCTCTAAAAACAGAATGGGTCATGATGTTTGGGCTCTGAGCACAGCCAGCAGTCTGGCCTGGGCACAGGCCATGGTGTGACAGGGGGGACAGGAGCCTTCTGTGACTGACCGTGGTTCTCTGGTTTCTCTCTCCAGGCTGCCAGAACCTCATGCCATGGAAACGGCACTGCTCAACCTGCTGGTCTGGGAGGGCTGGAGGGTGGGGGGTGTTCATTTGCTGTCAGAAAGAAATTGTTTTGTTGTTGTCATCATTGGAGCATTTCTTTCATCCTTTTCCGAGCTTTTGCCTCCCTTCATCGAGGGTAATCCTTTTGTGTCCTTTCTCAGCCATAGACACCATTTGGCATTGGGGTAAATTAATGTGAAAAATTCAACTACAGCTCCTGTTGCAGGCCCCTGGCCACAAACGCTGGCCTTTTTCCCTGGGAAACAAAACTCACCTCCCCCAATTTCCTGATGTCAGTTTGCAGGAGGTGTTTGGTACTCCCAGGGCAGCCCGAGTTGTAGGTGGTGGCAGGTTGGGTCTGGGAGACATCCTGCACTGTTTGGAATTTGAGGAGGTGGCAGCCCACTCAGGGCCAAAGGCCCCAGGATACAAATGCTGGCCCTTTTTGGTGCCAAAATTGCACTCAGCCCCCAGTGTGTTGATGCCAGTTTGGAGGAGGCATTTGGCACTCTGAGGGTAACCTGAGTGGTGGCAGCTTTGTCTGGGAGAAATCCTGCACCGTTTAGAATTTTAGAAAGCAGAAGGTCACATGGGACCACAGGCCCTTGGGCAGGCAGGAGGCTCCTGGACGTGAACGCTGGCCCTTTTCTGTGGGAAACAAAACTCAGCCCCACCAGTTTCCTGAGGTCAGTTTCAAGGAGGTGTTTGGCACTGCCAGAGCAGCCCAAGTTGTAGGTGGTGGCAGGTTGGGTCTGGGAGACATTGTGCGCCATTTGGAATTTAAGGAGTGCACTTGGCTCCTTGTCTCCTCATTGTGTCCGACAAACACAGGGGCCCAGAGCTCCTGCAGAAACCATCACAGCACTCTGTGGGAGCAACTTGTGTCCAGTGCTCACACAGCTGTGGTATCCAACACTGCACCTCACTGGAATGAGTGACTGTTCCAGCCCTCTTGGGAGGAACTAAGGAGGTTTGGCCTTCAGATCAGCTCCTTCCCTGCTCTTGATTTGCTGCCCTGGGTGAGCTGCTGCTTGTGGCAACACTTGTTGCATAGGTGACAACGCTGCTCTGCTGGCCAGCAGCCACTGCAGGAGCTTGTGCTAGTGACACTGAACCTTTCAGATCTTCCTAAGGAAAGCTCAAGGCAGAACTTGTCAAAAGAGCATTGCATGAGCAATGCTTTTAATGTTAAATCTTTCCTCTGTGCTCCATGCCATGTACAGTAAATATTTGCGGAAGAAAGTTTGCTGCTTTAGAAATTCCTCAAAACCGTCAGTTAAACCATAGCAGAACACAATTTTTGGATGTGACACGATTCTCACTTTAATTCATTGAGCAGAAAAAGAGGAGCACTTCTTGTGAGCTGTGTGTCTAACCTAAGTGACCTTGTCACCAAGAACTTAGAAAAGTGGGAGAGATGGAATCAGTCACACAAGGATCTGCATTGTGATTCTCCCACAGGCCTGAGGACACGGCCCACTTCCACTGGGCCATGGCTTTTTACCCTAGATCAAAACTTTGTGCTTCAGATTGTGGTGGTGAATGCCCCCGGCCTTGTCTGGCCACATGGTGGCCTGAGAAAGGGTCAGGCCTGGGCCTCGCTGAACAGCCCCTGGGCCCAGCTCCTCTTGAGCTTATCAGAGACACTGAGCGCTCCCAGGAGCTTGTGCTGTCTGACGAGCTCCTGGAGTGTCCTGTGAACAGCCTTGGAAGCCACTTTTCTTGCCTGAATGGCACAACATCCATCCTCTCTCACTTTCAAAGACAGGCTGCTGACCCACAGTGCGGCCATGATGAAGCATTTATGGCTGAGGCCCGCTCTCTTGTGGCCCATAAACAGCGCTCCAAAAGGAGGCCCTTGGGGCTCTCCTGGACCCCAGAGGCTGCCGGCAGCAACTCCCTCCGAGTGGGGCCTCTCAGAGCCAGCGAGCTCTCAAGGTTGCTGCACTGGCAGGGTGACTGATGAAAAATTCAACTACAGCTCCTGTTGCAGGCCCCTGGCCACAAACGCTGGCCTTTTTCCCTGGGAAACAAAACTCACCTCCCCCAATTTCCTGATGTCAGTTTGCAGGAGGTGTTTGGTACTCCCAGGGCAGCCCGAGTTGTAGGTGGTGGCAGGTTGGGTCTGGGAGACATCCTGCACTGTTTGGAATTTGAGGAGGTGGCAGCCCACTCAGGGCCAAAGGCCCCAGGATACAAATGCTGGCCCTTTTTGGTGCCAAAATTGCACTCAGTCCCCAGTGTGTTGATGCCAGTTTGGAGGAGGCATTTGCCACTCTGAGGGTAACCTGAGTTCTTGGTGGTGGCAGCTTTGTCTGGGAGAAATCCTGCACCGTTTAGAATTTTAGAAAGCAGAAGGTCACATGGGACCACAGGCCCTTGGGCAGGCAGGAGGCTCCTGGACGTGAACGCTGGCCCTTTTCTGTGGGAAACAAAACTCAGCCCCACCAGTTTCCTGAGGTCAGTTTCAAGGAGGTGTTTGGCACTGCCAGAGCAGCCCAAGTTGTAGGTGGTGGCAGGTTGGGTCTGGGAGACATTGTGCGCCATTTGGAATTTAAGGAGTGCACTTGGCTCCTTGTCTCCTCATTGTGTCCGACAAACACAGGGGCCCAGAGCTCCTGCAGAAACCATCACAGCACTCTGTGGGAGCAACTTGTGTCCAGTGCTCACACAGCTGTGGTATCCAACACTGCACCTCACTGGAATGAGTGACTGTTCCAGCCCTCTTGGGAGGAGCTAAGGAGGTTTGGCCTTCAGATCAGCTCCTTCCCTGCTCTTGATTTGCTGCCCTGGATTAGCTGCTGCTTGTGGCAACACTTGTTTCACAGCTGACAGCCCTGCTCTGCTGGCCAGCAGCCACTGCAGAAGCTTGTGCTAGTGACACTGAACCTTTCAGATCTTCCTAAGGAAAGCTCAAGGCAGAACTTGTCAAAAGAGCATTGCATGAGCAATGCTTTTAATGTTAAATCTTTCCTCTGTGCTCCATGCCATGTACAGTAAATATTTGCGGAAGAAAGTTTGCTGCTTTAGAAATTCCTCAAAACCGTCAGTTAAACCATAGCAGAACACAATTTTTGGATGTGACACGATTCTCACTTTAATTCATTGAGCAGAAAAAGAGGAGCACTTCTTGTGAGCTGTGTGTCTAACCTAAGTGACCTTGTCACCAAGAACTTAGAAAAGTGGGAGAGATGGAATCAGTCACACAAGGATCTGCATTGTGATTCTCCCACAGGCCTGAGGACACGGCCCACTTCCACTGGGCCATGGCTTTTTACCCTAGGTCAAAACTTTGTGCTTCAGATTGTGGTGGTGAATGCCCCCGGCCTTGTCTGGCCACATGGTGGCCTGAGAAAGGGTCAGGCCTGGGCCTCACTGAACAGCCCCTGGGCCCAGCTCCTCTTGAGCTTATCAGAGACACTGAGCGCTCCCAGGAGCTTGTGCTGTCTGACGAGCTCCTGGGGTGTCCTGTGAACAGCCTTGGAAGCCACTTTTCTTGCCTGAATGGCACAACATCCTTCCTCTCCCACTTTCAAAGACAGGCTGCTGACCCACAGTGCGGCCATGATGAAGCATTTGTGGCTGAGGCCCGCTCTCTTGTGGCCCATAAACAGCGCTCCAAAAGGAGGCCCTTGGGGCTCTCCTGGACCCCAGAGGCTGCCGGCAGCAACTCCCTCCGAGTGGGGCCTCTCAGAGCCAGCGAGCTCTCAAGGTTGCTGCACTGGCAGGGTGACTGATCAACCATGGATCCTGGGCCAATAGCCCCACTGCTGGAGGCTCTGGTTTAACCACTGTTGAGCTTGAGTGCAGTTCAGCTTTTAGGCCGTGTTCCTTTTTAGCCTTGAACTTTCTGACCTTTTCTTAAAGCTAAAACACCTAAACAAAAACACACACACACCCACACACACATAATTCTCAGAATGTTTCTCGTTTGATTGACTGCATTTTGTTTGTTACCTTTTTCTTCCTTGTTGTGCCTTAATCGACTAGTAAGTAATAGTGTGAATGTTGCCAATGAATTTTCCTGAGCTGTTGCTTAATATTCAATCTGGTTTTTACTGAACCTTGCCTGGGAATTTTTTAAGCAATCTTAGATGCTTGTTGGTAACAAGGCTTGGGAGCATGAGGTGCAGGGTTGACACTGGAAAGCAGGAGAGTCATTCCAAAGTGACAAGTTTAACTGTCTACTTTATTACTCTTCAATTTATTTCTCTCTAATAAGCCCAGCCAAGATTTTCTTGGGGGCAGAATGTGTGTGGGATGCACTAGGGTATTGTCCCATAGCTCTGGGCTGAATGGCACCCAGGCTGGAGTGTAAATAGATTTGAGGAACCCTTGTCACCTGTTATTGGCTGCACAGTCCACTCATCCCTTGGCAAGCAAGTTGCAAACAACAAAGTTGGACTGCTGTCCTGGGTAAATATAGAGATGACTTTTCCAAAGCAATGCATCCTTTCCCAGTGAAATACACAACCTCTTCTTACCTATGAAATTGTGAATGAAGACACCTGTGAGCCAGGTCTGTGTGAGGTTGCAAAGGAGCAAAGCTTTAGCATTTGGACACACTTCTCTTTGTTTCTTTGGTGAGCACAGAACTCATCTAGGTAGAAAACTTTTGATAATAGAGGATCTTTTGGATCCATTGTCCCCCAGACATGGCAATGTGTGGCCCTGTTGTCATGGCA